CCATTCGTGTTCCCCAGAGGCAGTTGAGGCAGATGGCAGGGGACAGGGTGTGGGGACACTGCCCCCTTGCCGGGCCATTCCTGAGCGCACGGATGTGCCACACGCTCCCTGGCACTCAGGGTGGTGACAGCAGGCAGGCTGTGCCCTCCCGCAGCACTCACTCCCGGTCCCCGACACCTGCTGCACCTGGGACAGCGGTGAGGAACGGGAATACCGGGAAGCGTCAGCAGCTGGCAGAGGTGTGAAGCCAGGCTGCCTTCAGCCATCCCGCCGGCGCTCCCTCGCTGAGCTCTGCTTAACACACTGCCACTCCCCCCCGCTGCACTGCGAATGGAAACGCGCTCGAATAAATCACCTCTAAGTTAAGAGCAGCCATTAGCTATTAGCAAACACCGCAGGCCTGTGGGCCAGGGTAATTCAATGTGATATGCTTGGGCATGCAAGGTAATAGGTTCCAGCTGAATACCATGTGATACAATCTCTTCAATGGGAGGTTAAATGAGGCTGAGACAGAGACCAGATGGATTTATCTGGGTAGCGCTGATGATTTTTTTGTGTGTGTGCTTAAGGTGAAGTGAAGGTAAGTAAGGCAGAAATAATCTGAGAGAAAAGCACGAGCTGGGCTGCGTGCGGTTGGGGAAGGGATAGCGGGAGGCTCGGGACCTCATCCCGCTGGAACAAACCAAGCGAGCCCGAGGATGCTCTCAAGGCACTACAGATGGAAACAGCCAGGGAAAAATAAATACTTTATCAATTTCCCCTTATGGAGGAACAACCAGAGGGCAGAGCAAGACAAGTCAAGCGTAGCTAGGCAGATGTAGACACCTCACTGCTGATATTTCAGCAGGAATTTGGAGCACAAACACCACCTCTCATCCACCCAGGCCACCTGCAGCGGGCAAAGGGACAGACCCGGTGTGCTCCCTCAGGCTGAGGTGTGCCAGCAGTGCCCGTCAGTGTGGCCAAAGGAGGGGCAGCTCCAGGAGCAGAGTCAGTACCTAAGAAAATCAAGTGCTCAGCTTGTGCTGGGAGCAGTTTGTTCTTGCTCAGGTGGACAGCACGGAGCTGCGGGGCCCCTGTGAGGCACAGCCAGGTGTCTGCAGAGGGAGCAGGACCTCTGAGAAAGCAGAGGAAATCCTTCCCTGTGAGGGTGGGGAGGCGCTGGATCCTTGGAAGTGGCAAGGCTAGGCTGGAGGGGCTTGGAGCAGCCTGGGATAGTGGGAGGTGTCCTTGCCCATGACACGGGGTGTGATGAGAATCCCCAACACGGAGCTGTGCCCTGCAGCGCTCCCTGATCCAGAAGGTTCCAACCAACCTCCGCCATGCCAGAAATGGGAGGTAGAAAAAACACAAAGCACAACACGTACCAGCTCCTTCACACTCATCTCCACGGGCCACTGACGAGGCTCAGTGTGGTGCAATGAAGGCAAACCCTGGACACTGCTATGGAAACGCCGCACCTCACCCCGGGTGTGCAGACAACCCGCCGGGGCCCCTCGGCCCCGCCGCCAGGAAGGTTCTGGAAGTTCCCGGGATCCTCCCAGGGACATTTTCCTGTGCGGGGCTCTCCAGAAACCGCATGGAGCTCCATGAGGAGGATCTAAGCCAGCAGCCACCGCACAGTTCTCCTCCCTTAAACCGAAGGGCTGTGCACTGTGCGCTGGCCCTCGTCATCCTCCAACCCCAGCACCGCCCTGGGGGCTCCCACATAAAGCAGTGCAGGAGCCACCCCCGGTCACCCCAAAATCCCCGCCCGACGAGCACCCAGCGCAAGGAGGAGCGTACCTACCCCGCCAGGCTCGGGCTGGAGCGGGACGAGGTCCCTCCTCAGCTCCTGGACTCCCAATTCCGTCCCGTCCCCGGCGCGGCCGCCGTGAGGGCACAGCCCGGGACCCGGAGAGCCCTGCCCGCTCCGGGGCACCCGCTGGGTACAGGTGCTCGGGGTCCCAGCTGCTCATTAACGAATTAGCGAACACCTGCCCCGCCCGGCCCCGCCCTTCCTATTAAGGAAACGGCCGCAGGTGTGCGGCAGGTGATGGGATTCGTGTGGGTCTGTCCAAGGTTCCAGAACGTTCGGCAGGGACTGGCACAGAGCACAAGGAGTGTTCAATGCCCAGCCCAGATCGTGGTGACTTACCTGCGACAGCCTGATGCAGAGAAACAACACAAATGCAGCGAGGAATCACTGAGCGAGTCTGGGCACATCCAGGCTGCACACAAGCCTGCAGGGAAGAGGGTTGAAATTCTGGACTCGCCTCAAATTTTCGTTAGATGTTGTTTTATTCTGATTTCTACCCAGACAGGAATACCAGATCCGGTGTGTCTGATAACAAGAAAGATTTCACTAGTATACAATATTCATATCTTATATGTCATAAATAGAATCATGAGTGCTGTGGTATTCTCTGAAGAGAATATATACAAAGTGCTGTTAAAAATCCAATGCATTTCCTGTATTGTTTCTTTAGCTAGAGAGGTACCTCAGGATTAACAGATTATCAGTGCATTAGCATTCATATCCTGGATAAAGTGTCTCTGGTCATTTGCATGGGCACAGACTAGTAACTTAAAGGCTCTATGAAATTGGATGATAAATAATATTCAGAGGAAATTGAATTAGACAGGAGGGAAGAGAAATGTGACTGCCATTAAATCTCTAAAGTACATTCCTGGTTTATTCCCTCCCCCCACTCCGAGAATAATACGGCATTCAATTTTCCAATTATATAAATACATGAACACTGGATTACTAGAGGCAGATAATTGAATATTTTGACTATTCTACAAGGGACCCTTCATATTTGAAGTGGGAGATGAAGAGGGCGTGCAGCATCAGCCTGTGGATGCATGAGGTATAAAAACCTCTATTAGATCCAGAGAGTATAAAGGTCTCCCATAGAGAGAGAGATCTTATCAGTGTTCAATATACAATAGTTAAATATCAGGGTAAGTTACACAATTGCAAAACCGGGATATTTTAGGCCACACATTGTACTCCTTCAAAGGTGCAAGGGAAGGCATTCGCAGTCACAGCATTTCAAATCCGACTCCTCTGTAACTCTGCCTTTACAGGACATCAATCATGAGATGAGAGGAACTGTAAGCTATTTTCCAGTAACACACTGCCAATCGCAAGACAAATGTCAGATGTCACAAAAGGAGAAGTAACCATTTTTCAACCTGTGAATGTCTTCAAATATATTACAATGAAAGTGTGAAAAAAAATGACCCTTTCAGCTTCATTTGTTCTGACAGGTGCCAGACTTTGGAGTTCTGCATTTTATCTTCATACTGCAATAATCTTTATGACATTTGAACAAGGCTGAGGGCAGTGGCATTAGTTAGTCTACAATTGTCCTCTTATGTACAACACATAAAATTTCAAAGAGTCTGGCCATTGAACTAAAAAAGATCATCTACTACTATTTTATTTGTGTTACAGAAAAAGATAAGGAGAAGGGATGCCCACATCTGAGATTAACACATGCTGGAGACTAGTTTTGTGTGGGCTCAGCCTGACTCCTGCATTGCATTGCCATGCTGCTATTGCCACTTAGGAAAAACACATGCTGCTTAAAACTGAAATCGGGAAAAAAACCTCTACAAGCATTCCCTGAAGTGAAAACTCACTCGATATTGTGTGTGCATTTAGTCCCTGACATGAAACAGGTGAGGTGTGTCCCCTTCAGTGACACAGCCACTGGAACATTTTGACACAGAGCTCAGGGAATGTTCTCCAACCCAAAGCTCAGTGCCCATCTTACAGCTTTGCCATTTCTGATAGCATGGAGGGCACTAAAACATTAGCCAAGTCATTAACATTAAAGAGTAGAACAAAGGAGGAAAATCAAGCTCAGATGTAGCCACTCATTGTAATAAACTGCAGACCACAAAGAATTTCACTCGACATCCCTGAAGTTCCAAGTTACTCCTGTCCTTCCAGCCAGTCTCACGTTCTGCTTAGCCCCCACAAGAAGTGTGTGATCATGGAAGTCATAGTTCATTTCCTGAAAAATAAGACCCCTCTGTACAACTCCAGCAGCACAGCCCAGTTTTGACACAACATCCTCAGATCTAATTTGTACAGTTACGCTGTTATTTAAGGGAAAAACGAAGAATATGTGCAAAGACACAAAAAAGATCTGCTCTAGATGTTACTGCAGGTCCCAAAAGGACCTGTAAAAGCCAAAACATAAGCAAACCTAGAATACAGTTAGTTTAGGCTGAAGTCAGTGACAGGGTTGGTTCCACCAGAATTTAAGTGACCTCTCTTAGGCCTTTGTATAGCTTTCTGCAGAAGCAGTGCTGAATCCCTGAAGACAAAACCACCACTTGATTCACCAATTTTACTTAAGAAAGTAAACCTTTTTCTGTGAATAAGTGTGAGCTTATTGGTTCTGTGGAAGCAAAAGGATAGAGTTTTAGTTCTTCTTTAAAAAACTAACAGTACTTGTCACGGCAAAGACATGTACAAAGAAGTAGAAGCCAAAATATTATTTCAGTGTTTTAAGACTGACTTTAAAAAATAAGTACACAGTCATTGACCAAATCTGTATTGATTCCAACATGTACAGTCCAAGCCATGGAAAGAAGAGTCAAGGGCTGAAGTCTGACCACAAGTGTAATTTCAGATTTCAGTTTTCCAGTCTGGTACTTGTGACTGCAGTTCCTTCCTTGGTTTCTGTGACATGTCCTGTGCACACAAAGCAATGTAATTCCTGTGACATGAGTGTGCCTCAATGAGTGCAGCCAATCCTGTGGTGTGGTCCTCTTCCACACACTCGGGATGAATGCAGTTTGTCACGAGATGTGCACCGTAAATCCCATAGACAGGTGAAGAAATAGTCATTGCCAGGGTCATTATTTGGAAACATGAGGTTGCAGCAGACTTTGTAAAAAGCATAAATAAAAAATACAGCTGAAATAAATAGTTGTCACTGTCAAATGAAGAGATTCCAGCGCCAGTCTCTCCTCCAGCAGTGCACGTACCTGCCTGGGGATTAACTCCCAGTTCTGTCCCGGCACATGAGTGCCCGTAGCTGTGATGGCTTCTGCAGTCTGAACACTTGGCGGCCGTGGGGCCGAGGGGAGCTGGGTGCGGTGGCCGTGGCTGGCAGGGCCCCCTGGCGCTCGCCCAGGCCACAGCCCCAGAGCAGGCGCTTGCCCTGCAGGTCAGCCAGGCGGCACTCGCACTGATTGACCAGCAACGCCACCTGCTCGTACAGCGGCCGCGCCTTGTATTTCTTCTGGGCCAGGCAGAAGAAGGCTTCCACAAAGGCTTGCAGACACATTCCTGAAAGGAAAAGGAGCTCACAGGACACTGGGATATTCTTTAGGGATAATACTATCTCTTGTTGTTTGTGGCAGCAAGGCCAAATGTGTGTGTGATGAGTGTGAACACAAACTATCGTGTTAGTTCAGATTTTTTCATTTAAATGGCAGCCATCTGGAATGCTCAGAAAGCAAAGAGATTGTCTGTCCTTCAAAGAGCAAAAGCCAAGGCTTTATTTGTGTCACACTCATTGCGTGCTTCAGGGCAGGGTAAGCCCAGGCTGGGTTACAGATGGGTGACATCCTCTATCACTAAGGCAGCCTCTGGCTTTGCAGACCTCAGCCTGGAATCCAGAGGCAAAGTGGTACAGCAAGAACCCATTTTAGGATATCAAACCATTAAATTGATCTAGTATTAGCCTTGATTTCTGCTGCCAAAATTATTAGGTTGAAACCAAATGAGACACAGTAACATACTGAGCATCAAGGAAAACAATCCAGCTGGAGAAAAAAACAAGTTTATGTCGGCAGCTGAATGGAGTCTTTTCAACCCTGTATTTTTAGAGATGGATGTGACCCAAAAGTTCACACCAGTGTGTTATTTCAGTCTGTAGCACTATGAAGAAACCCCATTACCAAGTATCACCTTAACAAGATGTGAGTTTATTTGAAGCACTACTTTCCTCCTGCACAGCCTGTACCAGGTACAAACCCTTTTGAAGGTGAAGAGGCCATTTTTTCCAGTCATACCCAGCAACTCCACAATAGTTGTTTCAACTGAATGAAAAACAAACAGCTGAAGAGTGCAGTGCCAAAAAATGTCTCTGCTATAATACAACTGCTCTGCCCCTTCCCACACAAAAGTCCCCTGCAGAAGCCCCATGCTGCAGGGGAACTCTTCAGCTGCTGTTCAGTCTCCTCTCACAAACAGCACATTACCAGAGCCAAAGGGAAGAGGAGCTGAGTATTAACACTAATTATTGTATTTAAAACCTTGAAGTAATACCTACTCAAATTCTTAATTAAGAAGCCAGACCCCAATTGGTTGTGTAGAATGCCACAAGCTCTCCCAGTTTGAACATACACTTAAGAAGATTATTTTAGGATGAGATATTGAAAGGTTTGGGGTTTTTAACTGAGTTGGCTTATTGATGCAGTAGGAAAGGCACCTTTTCAAAATATGACAATTACATTCTAAAGTATAATTTCTCTCAACCAAGGCTGCAGCTGGGGTCGTTTACGATCTTGGCTGTAAAACAGCTTGCAAAGGAATTGTTGAGTTATCTGAAAGCAGCAGCTGCCAGCTCAGTAAATTGTTTTATCAGTCACAGTGAGCTGCAGGCAGGGAAAGCACCTCTGGTAGCACACACACACTTTCCCCCCAGAAGTGACACTCATGTGAAGCATATTATGAAAAGAAGTTAGAAGCTGTTTTAGAACAACAGAATCATGCTTGTCTTGGTTACAGCTGGGAGTGGGCCAAACATAAAGCCAACAGAAACAGGTGGACAGTTTGTGTTTTAACACCTAAGAAGCATCTGGTTCATTGACACCATACACAAATCTCTTAATTTTTGAAAGCCTGAAGATTCAGTTGCTTGTCTGTTATTTTTCCTGGTGAAATTCTACCAGCCAACTACATAAGTAATTTATACCCACCTTGAAAAGCTAAATACAAATACTCAAATTTTATATAGTTGTGAAACTGAGGTGACCCTCATGTACCTAAAGTAATGCTACCCTGAAGGGCAACTCCCACTGCACTAACCAGGAGAATTGCTTGTGTTTGTGCATGTCTCAGGTGTACATGGCTTCTTCCCATTTTTGTCGAATGTTTGAAGTGTACCTGAGCAATTAAAATTGAAAAAAAAAGCCCAAAAGTCAGATTTCATAGTTTTTGAATACAAACCTGGGTTACCTGATTCCTTGTGGTCAATGCCCATGCTGTTCCACCTCCTTGTGATATCAATATATAGGATATCTACAGCAGCCATTGAAAAATTGCTGTTACTCAGTTTGCAGTTTCTGATAAAAAGAAACAAAATAAAGAAGAGATTCTCATTACATCCAAACTCCCAAGTTAGGAAAAATCCTGCAAGGGCAACCTGCAGGAGAGAAGTTTACACATGTGATGTGTACAGACCTACTGTAACGTGCTCAGTCTAATAAATCACACACAGCAGAGAGCAAACAAACCAGCATTCATTAAATGCTCCTATCTGAATGGAACAGGCTCAAACCCAGAATATTTCAATTAAAAATATGACCTGACTGTTACACAGAGCTTTCTCCCAGGGTATTACCAATACTCTGAGGCTGTAAGAGAATGGAATTAATTGGTCCACTGCAAAACCCACCACAAATCTGCACAGACTATCTGCACAAGGCAGAGTTTGCACAGAGAAATACCCTTTTATTTGTCTGACTGATCCTGTTTGGAAAGGGCTGGAGGAAGCTTTCAGGCACAGCCTGGCTTCCCCATGCCTGAACACTGACAGGATTTACCCTGGTGGTACTGAACCCTGAAAGCAGCTCTGGATGCAGCCTGGGCTGCGGGGATGTGGAGCTGGGACTTGGTGTGGTCTGAGTCCACAGTGCAGTATTGATCATGGATGGGAACATCCATGTGTCCAGGATTTCCAGATGTCTGGCAGCCTGGCTGCCACCACTGCATGTGCCAAAGAGCTGGCCAAAATTTCTCGCCAGGAAAGAAGCAAAAAATCCCCCAAAAAATCTCACTCCAAACTTGGATAATTGAAGCCAATCTCACTCTTTAGTAACCTCAACAGAGCTCCCTTAAAATAAGAGTAAGGCCTCACCTCAATAGCCCAAAAATTCCCAGGCAGCATCCAAGCAGGGACTAGAAACACAGTCACTGTTTCCTTTTAGCTACTTTTTTAGAATGAAGAAAACACTAAAGGAGAACAGATTTTGATGAGCCAGAATTTGGGTGGACAATCTTCACAAGCACTTGCCCACACATGAAATCTCACTCGTGTACCATTTTATTCCTGAAAAGTGATACAACACACAAAACATGACCTCCCTTCTGAAATGAACAGCAATGACAGCTCTTCAAAAAAGGGCCTTATAGCTGCTATAGAAGCTCTGGGAGAAAATAAACAAAAATATCTGCCAGTACTAAAAAGTTTAATTTAAGAAACTTCAAATGCTACTTCATTGAGATATGGCAATTTATCTGAATATTCTTAAAAGAAATGTTGGCATTTATTCTGTGTTCCTCTGACAAGTGCCAAAATAAGGCTGGATTAAACTACAAAAAATACAGAACTGGATGCAATCCGGTGCTGGTCTGTGGATAGAGCAGATGCCTTCAAACATTTTCTATATATCGTAATTTGTATAAACCAAGTCGTTTTATATTCATTCCTGAATGCTAAATGCATCTGCATAGAAACAGAATCTGTGTTTTAAGAGTACATCTGCTGCTGCTCATTTCTTTTGTCATAGTCAATGAAAGACAGAAAATGAGGTATTTGTACCATGACTAGAACAGATATAGCCATAAAAAACAATGAAAAAAACCCCTCCTAAATAAAAAGTATGTGGAAAAAATAAATTGAGTTCCTTGACATTGCAAGGTGCAATTTCACCATGCAAATCCTCCCTGCACGGTGCATCAGGAGCTGGCATTTGGGAATCCTTCCAGCGGCCTGGAGCAGCCAGCACTGCCCCCACAGCTGACAGAATCACATCAAGTGACCCAATTCCAGCTGTCACTTCCTCACAATGATATTTCCACCCTCTACTGGGAACGTGACATGTTGATGAAAACGGCCAATTCTATCTGCCCAAGTATCACAGATCTGCTGTCAAATAAAGACCCAGCTCCCTCCCAGACACAGACTCCCAGGCTTTCCAGGAGCTCGGAGTGATGAAACCGTATCTGTTTCAGAACAGAGCAGTGGCTGCAGGCCGGGAGGCATCACAAGGCCTGCAGGGGCCGGCTGTTACCTTATGAAGGTGCGGAATCCCGTTGGCCCCAGCTTGGTGGTCCCTTTGACCCCGAGGAAGCGGATGAAGAGCGCGGCCACCCTGTCCACGAGGCGCAGGTAGTTGAATTGCTTGGCGTACTTGGGGAACACCTGCTTGAGGCACAGCGAGGGCAGAGCAGCCTCGGGGCTGGGGGCAGCATCCGGCAGCTCCTGGCTCGGCCCCGGTGCCTGCTCCGAGCTCTGGCACCTGCAGCACACAATCAAAAAGGGGCTTGGCTTGGGAAAGAGCTCAGAGCTCAGCCCACCCAGCCCCTGCCACGGGGGACACATCCCACACACCGGGCACCAATAAATATTCGTCATGGTTCAAGGCAAATCTGGGATGAAACTTCTGAATGGGGTTTTTTCCAGGAAACAGATTCAAGCTGTTTCTCGCCTAACTGGTTTGGGGAAAAATATAAACCCCTGTTTATTTAACAGGCAAAATACTTTACAGCACAAAAAAATTAACAATAATATACAGCAAAACTTCTGGCTGCTCCGAAGAGATGACAGGTTCAGAAGAGGTTTTTTTTGTGGGTTGCAGCCCATTTTACTCAGTCTGTTCTCAGTCCCTGCAGTGCTGGGAAATGCTGCAGCCCAGGCCAGGCCTCGTGGGCCACAGGTGTGAGCTCCTGGTGCTCCCCTGGGTTTTCAGTTCAGAGCAAGTTTGAACAATTTCAAGAAAAAGGAGTAAAAAACACAGTCCAGGGAACTTCTTTGCTTCAATTGGTTAGAAAAACTAACCAAAAAGCAAAAGAGAGCTCTCTCCCACTGTCCACTGCAGACAACACAGTCTGTGAGAAGGATGGGGGAGCGAGTGCAGTCTTTGATAACAAACTCTGCACCTCCTCTTCTTTGCCTCCTTTAATCTTGGAACCAGTCTTAAAGCTGCAGAACTCTAACACCAATAGAACAGACAATCTGGGGATACAAGCATCACAAAGCCACCCCAAGACACTGGCCTTCTAGGACTATTGCTGCAAAATGTTAAAATAATTATATTCTTTTGTATCCACACTTAAATGCACTGAGGTTGAATAATTATAAATGTGAGCACTGTTTTTATGAAAGCCTAAAAAGTCTTTAAAAATAAATAACAGCCTTAGGTAGTGCTTCGATAATGTTCCTCTTTGCTGCAGATAGGAAAGTAGAAAAATAATGACAACTATTGGTAACTATGATAACTAATAATATAACTATGATAACTAATGACAACTATTTTTGTCATTAGTTAAGTAAAGCCTGAAGTTAGTTAGTTAGTTAGTTTTGCTCTTTCTCATGTAAGATGGGATGGTGGTGTCACTGCTGTTGAATACCTGCCAAAAGAGCAAGAGTATCTACAGCCAAGAAACAAGCACACAGGCTTCTATTTTTAATTTTGAAAGGTCTGTTCATGAATTTAAAAATTCAAATCTTCAGCCAGTTGAACCAGACCCTGACCAAATGTGAAACCTTGTACTCAGAAGAGAGGAGGTTGTACTGTTTGTAACACAACTCTCATTTTAATGATGCCTGGAAGCCCCAAACCCTTTCTCATTCTAAATTCAACAGTGTTTTGGATTGTACATTATTCATTCATCATTAATGGTTTTAGTTAAAAAAATACAAAGCTTTACTTTAAAAAGCACAAGTAAAGTTGAGGATATTTCATTTTTGATAGCAAACACTAAAGGGATTATTAAAGGGATCAGCTTCAGAGCCCTGAGTTCTGGCCCAGCACTCTCAGAGCGAGGCTGGAGCCTCGTCCATCCACCCGACCCCCTGAAACAGGGCTCGGGAATAACATCTCCCCCTCTGCAAACCTGCAGCTCCTTCACAAACCACACCTCCTCCCTGCTGAGCAGCACTCCCTGCCATTTCTGACACAGTACTTTAAAAGAGGTTTTTTTTGCAGTCCTTCATTTATCAACCTCCACCCTCCACAGCAATGAGAAACGTCACGGAGAGAGCACCCAAACCAGAAGCAGTGCTCTGGACACATCCTCACTGCTGGGAGCCACACAAGACTCTGTCTCCCTGCCTGAGGGGGAATCGACACAAATTGTTAAAATAGCTCTGATTTGGTTTAGGGTAATAAAAGAAAAATCGTATATTGGTCAAAGACAAAATATTCTTGGATGCAATAAAGCAGAGGCTCTTAACTACCACATAGAATTTCCTGCTTCCCCTCCATTCTACAGAGAAAAGCCTACAGCTGTATTTGAGGTCATGGATAAAACTCAGAAGCAACATCCCATTTCAAACTTTTACTGAGAGAGCTCTTAAATCCATACTTCTTCATAGAAAAGTATTTTAAAATTAAAACCAGCAGGTTTTTTTGCATGCTACTGCATGTCCCATTCCTTTCCACTTATACATTGGGAAAGTCTGTAAAATATTTACATCAGAACAAGAAAACTTAATTTAGTCTTTATTGAAAAATGTTGTAGTTCCATTCGGTAAAAAAGAAAAAAAAAGAAAATATAGTTCTTAGTTTGATTTTGCAGGTTAGGACTTTTATAAAGTTTAATGATTTGTTTTCATTCTTTAGCTCCCCCACAAGATTTCCTTACTTCTCCTTTTTTAAAACACTAGAGCCCAATTAACATGACCATACAATATGAATTACAGTGAAAGATATATTTTGCACTTCTAATAAAACTCAGATTTTCCAAAGCAAACCTGCACAAGTGCTTTCCTGTGTCTGCACCATGAATTGATCCACAGACCTGCCTATTCTGCACACTCACCTTCCCTGATTTACACGATATTCAGGGTGCAATTCTCCACTGCTACCACAGACCTCAATAAAAGTTTATTTTCTGTATTATTCCCCACCTCGGTGTGGTCTCAACAAGACTAATTAAGACAAACTGCCTGGGTAGGTCCATACAGCCAAGTACAGTGCCTATAAATACAGAATTTTACAGTGATTGTGTATTTTCCAGGGAAAGGGTGAGGTTTTTTGCCTCAGCACTCAGACAAGCTGCACTCCCTGCAATGCCCCATTTCGTGTTCTCTGGCATTTGGCTGCCATCTGCCAGTGCCACACCTTGAGGGGCTGAACTCCCCAGGGGTCACCCAGCCAAAGACCAGCATCAGCAGCTTCCTCAGAGCAGAAAGAAAGAAAGAAAAAGGTGGAGAAAAAAAAAAAACAGCAGAGAGAAGGAGAGACGATGTCAAGAGTGCAGGAGGAAGAGCCATAAAGAGCAGAACTACAGCTCCAAATCCAGCAACAGTGAAAATGGGAGGGGGATTTTCATCTCCCTGTCCACCTTTAGCTCAGCAGTCAACTGGAAAATACAAAAGTCCTCATTTTTGTAATCTCACCTGTCACAGAATCATGGAATGGTTTGGGTTGGAAGGGACCTCAAAGCCCACCAGGTCCATGCATGGGCAGGGACATCTCCCACTGTCCCAGGCTGCTCCCAGCCCTGTCCAGGGACACTGCCAGGGATCCAGGGGCAGGCACAGCTGCTCTGGGCACCCTGTGCCAGGGCCTGGCCCTGCAAACCCCCCTGGACCCACTGAGGGGCTGTGGGGAAGGGAGGGGAGCTCCACACCTGCACAGAACCCTGCCCACGTTCCCTCCCTTAGCTCCTGTCCCACGGGATTCCCAACAGGCCAGGGGAGGAGAAGAAAGCTGAACCCCACTCTTTAAAGCTGCTCATTAGAATTAATTGTTTTGACTGACACAGCTGAGTCAGGCAAATGAATGAAAGGTCAAATATAAGGTAATGCTTCTGTTGCTACACAGAAAAAAAGCAAAGCTTCATTTACATACTAATGTCTGACCTCAATACATTAGTTTCTCTAATTCTGCAGCTTATGACAGATCACTCTTTAGAAATGATCAACTGTGGTGCAGCTTTAAAAAAAATTTAAATTTTAATAAAGCTTATGGAAATGACATCTAATACTACTTATCTTTTATACATGATTACTAATTTATTAATGTTTCCTCCATCTATGTTTTATTCCTTTCTTTCTGACCAGCCTTAATCTTTATGCAAATACAAGTTGCTAAGGGACAAACAAATTTGCAACTACTAATTAAAGGCTTCAAAATTTGCAGCATTTTTTACACTTGTATATAAAATTTAGCTGTCAAATTCAGAGTAAAATGGGGTAAGAATCACAACATTAATATGTCTAAGAATGCTTACTTGAGGTATTTTACATTTAGGGCATTGCTAGAAGTATAAATTAAGCAATTTCAGTATCAGCTTACAACTGCTTACCTAATAAAAGAAAATATTATGTTCTGGATTCTGAAGCTATAATTATTCCCTCAGCTGAGCCTCTATTCTCCAAGCAAAGACTATGTTAACATAGTTAAAAGCAGAGAATATTCTGCATGACAAATCTATCTATCCACCCATTTATCACCACAGACTATGGACCTCCCAAAGAACAGGTAAGTGTTTGCACCTGGAGCATGTAGGAAGGAAATACATTTGTGTGCTCATTCACAGAAATAAATAATTTAGGAAACTAAAGCCAAGCCAGAGCAGTGTCTCTGCATTATCAACCATTCATGAATTTGCTTTTATGAACTAATCCCATTACTTTTATTAACACAGACTTCCAGCACTCCCAGGATGTCATAGCAAGCAGTTTCATGGTTTGCCTGCATGTTGTGTGAGTAATCAGCTTTTGTTTTGTTCTGGCCAATCGTGAGTGTCATTTAAAGAAAATGAATATTCATCCCCTCTTCACCCTCTGGCAAAGTAAAAAAACATCAGTAGCACAAGAATTTCCACCTTTCAAAATAATAATATAGTTGCACAAAAATAGAAGTATTAGAAGAATGTTAAACCCACAGAGTAAGAGATTTTTGACATTATGTTAGAAAAATTATGGCTGTTACATAGAGTTTATCCAACATTTTGGAGAATGCTTTGAGGCAGGCAAAGCAACCCCAGTAAAGAGTCCATATTTCAAAGAGCAGAATCAATCAGATTAAACATAAGGATTGATAATCACCACGGTGTTGGCAGACAACAAAGTTCTGATCACACCAAATACATTTTGAAAACACAGCAGCTGTCCTGTCTCTGGGAAGCAGAAAACGATGAAAGCAGAATTTCCATCTCTCTCTTGAGAGGGGAAAAAAACACCAAACCTGTATCTCAGTTAAAGCAATAATTTGGGTAAATCACCTCACTTAGATTTTAAACTTCTCCTGCAGTTTCCAGGCCTGCCATGGTGTCCCTGTGGAAGGGT